ATATTGATTCACGGATGTGTGTGTCGGACCTTTTCTTATTTTGACTTTATATGTGTTGCACATGATGCAACATCTTGGAGAAAGGACATAATTTTTACTGTATTTAACATTTCTGCTTTTATCTGTACTCTCAGATTGAAAGAGGGATGGTGATCTACATCTGCTTCTTCAAAGGAGCCACAGATGACATCCTACCCAAGATGGGTCAGTGAATTTTTTTACTTTTTTCTTTGATCTAAATAGTGAACGCCTGCTTCCCTGTGAATCCCTCCACAGATGATAAAAAAGTTGTGTCCTCGCTCTGTCCAGTGTCCACGCTGTTGAACCTGCGGCTGAGCGAGTCGGATTCTGGGAAGATGGTGTCAGTGTTGGACCTTCCCGGGAGTTTGCTGATTGTCCCTCAGGCCACGCTGGGAGGAAAGGCCAAAGGCAGAGGCATGCAGTACCACAACAACATCAGCAAGGAGGATGGGCTGCGACTGTACAGCGCATTCGTTGCTCTGTGTGAGAAGGAGCTGAATGCTGCTGTAGCTGAGAGCAGCGCTGAAGTGACAGTAAAACACGGGACCTATGGTAACAGACAAGTGCTGAAGCTTGACACCAATGGACCATACACACATCTGATGGAGTTCTGAAGCTGAGCTCACCTTCTCAGAGACAAGATGTCATACTATTGTGTCTACCAATGCAGCTAGAAAGACTGATGTACTCGTATCTGAGTTGTGCATCTTTCAATATAAACAAAATAAAAGAGATTTAGAATTTGTCGGTTCTTTGTGTAATCGGCCAAAACTGGATTGTGTATGAAGGCTTTCTGATACTGTGGGACACTACCAGTCTCTACAAACACATGAAAAACTGAAAAATGAAGAGAGAAGGATGGAAATCCCTCAGCCAGGCACAGACAGAGTGCTGTATTGTTTTTATTTATTGTTTAGTTAGACTGGGAGGTGCTGCTGGCACTCTTTTAGTCATGCCTTGGAATAATTGTTTTGCCTAACTGAACAATTCGCCATGCATGTTGTTTTTCAGTGAGGCTTAAAAATGCTCTCAAAACATTCTATGCCACATGCTTTAGTGATGATTCTCTTATATTCAAGTTTTATTTATATTTCTTCAGCTTCTTCAGATGATAACATTGTGTGCCTTGTTAATTCTTTTAACAATCACTGCTTTGCCAAACTCAATCAAGTCACTCAAAAATTGTTTCTCATTCACTGTGGATAAACAATCTCATGGCCTACGAAACACCCATCAAACAACCGAATGACTGTGATTCCATGGGTTTTGTGGTCCATCATAAATATTTCCATAAACCCTTTTGATTCTTATAATGAATAAATTGTAATAATTATTGGATACTAATAAGAGCATTACTTTCATTATTGTTCTTTCCTCCATCTCAGCATGCTGCGTTACTGTCTGATGATCACTGGAATGCATTACTCAGTCACTTTGTAAACAAAGGGATGCACTTGAGATCCCAAATCTCTCTAACTTCCACCCTACTTTTAAAATACCTCCTAACTTTAATGTGTGTAAACTTGATGTTATATTGCTACTCTAGCACTTCATTTTCTTGGTTATATTACCCTATTAATTCACATAAAATAAACAAATATAATAGCAAATATAAAAAAACAAAAGTAATAAACAATAATATACCAATAAAATAATCATACACGTTTAAATAAAATTACATATTTGTGTATATTTACTTGCAGGTATTTGCACAGCTGTTGCATTCAGATTGATGTGGTTCTGGCAAAATGTAAACATGATAATTACCCAGCTGCAGGACAAATGTGTACAATTCTAGGAACTATAACTCACAGACAGTAATGTAGCTATATAATGAAATCATTATATAGCTACACTTTATCACTGCCATATAACATAAGATGTGAAACTTGTTGTACCATAACCATCTCACTATAGATGTAAGTAAGCTGGACTGCTGAAATATCAATACAATTTACCTCGTTCACCCATTCACGCTCACTCATAGAAGCACTTTTTGCTATGCTTTTCCATTTTCCAACAGTTGTGATCATAATATAAAATAAGTGTAGACTTATCTTTTTATAATGAGAGTTTACAGCACATGCTGTTTCGCTCTCTTCTCTGAAAGTTAAAAAGAAAGAAGACAATAACAGACAATAACAAAAAAGAGAAAAACAAGACAAGAGGAAAGTCAATAAATGATTTCAGCAACTACAAAACCTGCTGGTTTCAGGAGGAGTTGCCATAATAATATAAAGTAATCATACACTTATCTTTTTCTAATGAGTTTACAGCATTTGCTATTTCGTCCTTCATCTCTTCTCTGAAAGTTAAATAAAGATAATAACAAAAAATTAAATAAATAAGAAGAGTTACTGATCAGAGTTCTGATACAGTCATAGAATAAATATGTGTCTACTTATCTTTTAAAATCATTGTTCTTGTTTTCTCCATTCTCTCTGAAAGGCAGACAGCAGATGAAGAAAAGTAAGTTAAACAGCAAAGTAGACAGAACAAGTACCTCTCAGGATATCTCATAATGTGTGCATTTCTACTGGACACCTGTCCCAATGTTTCTCATAAGAATCGAATATCTTTGCCACCAAGCAACAGTGAATCATACCAACAAAAATCTGAGGCATTAGAGTGAAAAATAAATAAATAAAAATCACAGTCAATAATAACTTGGGACATAAAGTCTTCAAAACTAAAATAATACTGTCATTTGATGACTTCCTAATTAAAATACACAGCTGGGGGAATAAAGGCTCTGTATGCCTCCTTTTAAGCCATCTATCTATGTATGTTAACCGGCACAGGTCAGTAACAGACCGGGTGTAAAAAGAGCATCTTAAGCTGGGAGACTTTGTCAGGCATAAAGATGAACAGAGGGTCACCAATCTGCAAAAATAAAAAATACGAGAAACCAAACAAACAAATAAAAACTGCATCTACAAATTGTGGAACGACTTCAGAATAATGCAGAGAATCAATATTGGATGGCTGTGGGTTTGGCAGTACTGCATTAAAAACGAGCATTGATCTTTGTCCCCGTCTGGTGGAAACCAGTTCCTCTGCCCTTGCTCCTTGATGGCTGGAAGTATCATTTACTTACTTAGACTTATTCGTCACGATCACATGACTCTGGTCTTGCAGAGAGAACAATGCGTCCTCCGGAGTTGCGAGGGGCGCTCTTGTTTCTGTCAGAGAACGGAAGTGAGCTACACTCAGTAAGCTTGGGTTACGGCAGCTTCTGCAACCTGTGTCAAAACATTCTTCTGTCAAGTGATGACCATGTGACAGCAATTAAACTTCCGTTAAAATTATTTCCTGTGAAAATAAAAGCACTGAAAACGCAAACAAACGACTACCTTTCAAGAAATAGTTTTATAAGTGTACTTTATTTTCTTTTATATATGTATTTTCTTCCCATCACTACCCATCCGTAAAACGTTGGGGTTTTTGGTATCGCTTACTCATTTGATTCAACTTATTGTTGTTTGTTCAAAAATATCATATAAATAGTTTTTGAATGAAATATATCATTATAATGTAATTTATTACTATAGAATACTTGACATAACTCAGTCCCTGCGACCAACATAATACTTGTAATTGTTTCGCGAACATGAAAAAAAATGCACTTTTCATTTTTTAAGGGCTAATTACTTAAAAAAATAAATAAAAGAAAATGAAAAAATAATTGACAAACGTAATAACCCTTATTTTGAAATTATCCATACCGGAACGTGAAAGATTATTACTGCGGGACAAGTTTGCACGGAACAAAACGCCACAGTTAGCTATTAATTTGCTCTTAAAATATGTTTCTTTACAGCACGTGTGTATAAATTCAGATAATTTGAAAGAAAAAGATTTAATTATTTGAAGAAATCTGTGGGAAAAATAAGTACTTGCAGTAGAATTTATGTTAAAAGTTGGAACCGGTGTAACGAGGATTTGTGTCGAATAGACGAAAGATGATCTAAGGTAGGGAAACGTCTGCTTATTTCACGACACGTTTCCAGAATTAAAATAATGTCGGTTTACATTTGCGCATGTGCGCGCCACAAGAGCAGGCCTAAATATGAGACTACGTTTTTTTATTACAAACCTCTCGGCATTTACTTTTTATTTTTTTATTTTTGTACTTGTCAGTGAACTAATTGATTAACAGTAACTAAATGTTAATTGCTTGTTTTAAATAAACCACCGCCAAAAAGCCAAAGTGAGTCAACACATTATTGACAGAATACCAGTTATTTAATCATAAGCACCAAGAAAGAGAGAAAATTCATATTTAGTTCATAATTGACAGACCATTGTGAACTTGCCATTTAAATTTACAGTATTTAATGAAACATTTTAACTTACTATTCTTCAGTATGTATTGTACCTGCATTTTCTTGGATATCATTTATTACAACAAAACGTTATCATGTACTCATATTTTCCTATAGTGATGTCTTTAATTGACTTCTTCTGTCCAAAATACAGACCAAAAAGTGATTTAAAATTGATTTCAATTGATTTGTCATCACAGAAGGCAAAGCTTGTAATTGCAATAATCTTTTGTGATTGTTAAAGTTTTAAATCACCTTTCTTAACCTCTCTGTCTTTGTTTCCCACTTTTCCACCTGCAGATGCCCTCTTATGCCTTTCTGGATTGTTTGGAGCATTATTTACTGACAGGAAAGTTTCAAGTAAATACATCAAAAAGCTGGAAAAAGCTTCTCTCTAAAGATAGCAAAAAGTTTACTTACAAAGGTACAGTAGATGTTACACAAAAAAAAACAGTTCTCAATGTTTGGCAGCATCAAACAAAATGTTTGTATGGTGTTGAAGAGACATTAATTGAAGTTTAGCCAGCGCTGTGACCCTGTGCTCAGTTTGGTGTAATACCTATATTGACCACAAGATGGTGCTTTGCTGCGAGAACTACTACTACTACTGTTGTGACTAAAATTTATATATAATTCATTGTGCTACATTTAGGTGGAAGTAAAATTTCTGATATGTTTTTAGATCATTTTAAGTTGAAATTTTGAATAGCTAATTAAATATTAAAATGTATGGATTGAAAACCATTGAACCATTGCCACAAAAGTTGTTCCAGTAACGTCACATCTTCAGAATCTATGAATTACCCAATGTTCATACACCCATGAACATTTTGTAGATCACCTGGATAATGCATGAGAGAAAGCACTGCACTGAATATAGCCTTTCAGTCACTTATTAGGAATGTTGCTGAATGCTCAAACCTCCAGATGGCTGTTTGTGGCGGTCTTATCGAGGCCGCCTCCTCCGTGTCGTTAGGAGTGACGAAGAAATACGTGAGATCCTGATACAATACCACAATAACAACAACCATGCGCGCCGGGAACGGGCAGTAAGGGAAATAATGGTGAGTTTAAATGAGCTGTGTTCTTTAAGTCACCAAAATGGTTCAAATTAAGGCTATTCATAGAAAAGTGTTTTAACTCTTGATGTCCATCCAGCTGATGTATTACTGGGTTGGAGTGACTGCGGCCGTGAAGAACTGGATAAAGGCTTGTGACGTTTGCCAGAATCAACCTACTAAAGAGCTAGCTAATCTGCGCGTCCAGTTTTGCCTGGTTTATGGTTGTGATTCTTCCAGTTACATACACCCTGAGATCACCTTCCACAGGTCAGGTGGCGTTACACACTGGGCTCAATTGTCTCAGATCTAAAACAAAAAAATTGTATTTTGCACAAAGAATGATTGAATAACTAAAAC